GACAGACAGACAGACAGACTCACGACCAACGACACGCCAGGTCCACATGAGAGCTCGGTCCACTGTTCCGGAGAGCTTCGCTTCGCTCAGCAATTATTTGACGGCATTGCAATTGTGAGAAAAGTCTCACTAAAATTTAGTATTCTTCGGTATAATGGTGGGGGTCCTAATTTACTTTCCCCGACACCAACAGTGTAAAAATTCTTTGTCACGATGACGAAAATACCATGGCTAATTTTTAGTACAGGGGTGTCGTCATGGGTTTTTTCGTCACATGATTAAGGTTTTCTCGTCACCGTGACGAGAAAATTCGTGACGACAGCCCTGTACTAAAAATTAGCCATGGTATTTTCGTCATCGTGACAAAGAATTTTTACAGTGAAATTAAAGAGGAAAATCTATTTGGTGATCTCAGAACAGACAAAACCAATTTAAGGCAAAAGTTACATTTTAAAATGCGGTCCTATTTAGTTTTGTTAAATCGATACACAGGTCAGGGAAACCACTTTCTAATGTTGCAAGAACAAATGGATACAGATAATTTTGGGAGGCCGTAGTCCAATTTATTCAGATGACGCTGTGCGCGGTCTTGGTTTGAACGCCCCTTTACAGGGGCCAGATTGGATTTTCCGAAATTTAGTATATTTATTCAGCGTGCAACAAGTTTCATTGTGGTAACCATTAAAGAAACTTAACACAACCGTGTCTGTGTTCGCAGACCTTCAGCTACTACCTCTTTGGTGTGTTCTGTGCCTGCACGTTAAGCGCTGCCTCAAAGGACTCTGGGCTCAAGCTTCTAGCAGCCCTACGTCTAGTTGTGGCCCTTGCGTGTTGCTACGGTATGACTCTTTACTTCGCCATCAGCTCACAAGCAGTTCACGCTCTCTTCGGATCCACGGCTGAAGTTGCTCAAGACATTTTCGCTGGAGGAGCGTTCAGGCCATTTGAAGTAAGAGACGTTCTTAGGCCAATTTTTAGACAGTCCATTGTGGTCTGTCTCTACCCGAAGGTAAAAGTTTCCAGTTTTGATAAAGATAGCTGATTAACGTTTCAGTTATGATAAGCCGATTGATGATTTTGATAAAGATATCCGATTAACGTTCCAGTTATGATAAGCCGACTGACGATGGTAATCTAGATTCTCTGTGGGGGCGGGCGTTTTTTCCGTTCCGTTCCGCGACTTTCTGTTCGTCCCCGTTAGCAGTCCGCTGTCATCGCCCTGGTTGTGTTATAAACACGGCGCTCCTCATCCCTTGCTTCGCGCCGTGTCATGGGGCCAGCCGACCCCCACTCGAGCCTCTTGAGGCAAGCTGCGCCCCAGCCCCTATCCACTTAGAGCTCAATCGGCCCCGGGCGCCACATGCCACATGGCCCGTCCACTTGACAAGTGATCCCCAGCCTCAAATTTTAAAGTTGAACCACAGCGCTCTGAAATATGAAATGTGCTTGTTTTAGCGCGCGCAGAAATTACGAATCCAGCAAAATTTGAATGGTGATTCTAGCAGAATTTGCTGATTTTCGTTGTTTATGATATTTACCACAGCTTTCCGTAACATGAAAAAGCGCTCCTAGGTAAGGTGAAAGTTAAGGTCCGTCGAAATGACACTTTTTTCGATATTGATATCGGCTCACCGTGGAAAATGTTCTACTAGTAGAGCTGATTAACGGTGCGAAATCGTTTTTCTGTGCGACCACTCCTTCATGCCCCAGTAGAGCCTTGAAAATCGAAAGAAACAGCAAAAACAGTGAAATGTAGGCAACCCACTTTACACCGGTAGAAGGGCACCAGGTGGTGCTCACTGGTACTAGAGGTAAGTAAAAACATCATACTTCGACCCCAAACCGTCGTGGGGTACTCGCGAGGTCGTTCAGTTACTCTGATTAGGCGTCAAATAATGCTCAAAATGTCCAATTTTACCTAAAGTGTGGCTTTTGGCTAGGGTGCCAATAGTAAAAATTATTTTTGATTTCTCAAAATATTAATTTGGTTCCTGGTAGTGGACCCGAACCTGAGTTCTGAAAAAAAATATTAAGCCTGATACCTACCGATTTAGAAGTCGCTCAAAGCTCCCAAAGTTTCATTTTATTTCTTTTATTTGCTTGTTAGGGAAAAATATTGTAGCAGCGCTTAAAACTGGTTTAAGAACACAACCGGGGGGTCTTTCGACGTATTTTGACGCAAGGAATCGATTACCCTAGACCGTTTGAGTCTCCCAGTCCATTTGTAGCCTCTTTTCCCAGAAAACGAGAATTTTAGGGGTTTTTCTTTACATTGGAAAAGATCCAAGCGTCTCGGTGGACGCGTAAGCGTCGAAGGACCGTTTAAAAGGCATGAAAATAAAGGTCTCTTCATGCTCTTTCGTTTGCAATAGTCGAAATTGTCTTTATCGCACACTCCTTTGAGTAAAAAATAAGGAGAGAAAAAACGCCCAAAAATAGGCTAAAATGTAAAAAATGATGCGTTTTCGTAGGTAAAAAAATATTTTCAAAAGTCCCAGAACTGTTTTTTAAGCTCCTACAAATGTTGATAGATTATTGAACCTAAAACAAAAACCGGTTCTAGGACATTTGAAAATATTTTTTTACCTACGAAAACGCATCATTTTTTACATTTTAGCCTATTTTTGGGCGTTTTTTCTCTCCTTATTTTTTACTCAAAGGAGTGTGCGATAAAGACAATTTCGACTATTGCAAACGAAAGAGCATGAAGAGACCTTTATTTTCATGCCTTTAAAACGGTCCTTCGACGCTTACGCGTCCACCGAGACGCTTGGATCTTTTCCAATGTAAAGAAAAACCCCTAAAATTCTCGTTTTCTGGGATAAGAGGCTACAAATGGACTGGGAGACTCAAACGGACTAGGGTAATCGATTCCTTACGTCAACATACGTCGAAAGACCCAAGACCCCCCGGTTGTGTTCTTAAACCAGTTTTAAGCGCTGCTACAATATTTTTCCCTAACAAGCAAATAAAAGAAATAAAATGAAACTTTGGGAGCTTTGAGCGACTTCTAAATCGGTAGGTATCAGGCTTAATATTTTTTTTCAGAACTCAGGTTCGGGTCCACTACCAGGAACCAAATTAATATTTTGAGAAATCAAAAATAATTTTTACTATTGGCACCCTAGCCAAAAGCCACACTTTAGGTAAAATTGGACATTTTGAGCATTATTTGACGCCTAATCAGAGTAACTGAACGACCTCGCGAGTACCCCACGACGGTTTGGGGTCGAAGTATGATGTTTTTACTTACCTCTAGTACCAGTGAGCACCACCTGGTGCCCTTCCACCGGCGTAAAGCGGGCTGCCTACATTTCACTGTTTTTGCTGTTTCTTTCGATTTTCAAGGCTCTACTGGGGCATGAAGGAGTGGTCACACAGAAAAACGATTTCGCACCGTTAATCAGCTCTACTAGTAGAACATTTTCCACGGTGAGCCGATATCAATATCGAAAAAAGTGTCATTTCGACGGACCTTAGTGAAAGTATCCCATTTTGCCACAGGTTGCCGTTGTCGGATATTCATCACGATAGTAGTGCCTATTTTCTTGACGCGCAGAGATACTCCTTATAGTGCGGAGTCTGCACGAATAGAACCAAGCTGGAGATCTATTCGTTCAAGTGTCCGATCGTGACAGTGATAACCAACGCCTGGCTGTGGTTATCGGATTATCGATTCATGCTTTCAAATTTAACCAAACAGTTGATCCCCATACAATTAAGTCTCTTTTTTCCGTGTTTTAGTACAAAACACAAAATAAATACACTCACTGTCGCGTTCGGTTTCAGGCAGACGCGAGCAAGCTGTTTAAACGCATGCGCCTTGCGTACAGGATGGCACACCTATACGGCATTAGTGCCTCTGTCAGTCTGGTGCTTCCCGTCATCCTGCAGGGCAAACTGCTCTTGGAAATGTGGCCGTGGTTCGACGGCGAGCTAGGTGTCTGGCTTGGTATGGTGCTCCAAGCAGCCACCGGCTACCCGGCATGCGTCCCATGCTTCCTGGGCATTGTGATCACCATATCTGTGAGCGAGACGCTACGAATGCTCTGCCTCATAGTCGCAACACAGCTCAGGGGGGCGGAGACGGTGTTTCAAGTTCAAGAGGTAAGCGGTATGGCTGTTCTTTTTTCGCTTGGTCAAAAGGACCGGAATATGGGGGGGGGGGGAGGCATGTGTGAGATCAGCAGCTTCATTGGCTGAGCGATCAGCGAAGCCTATTACTCCACTGATGATCAAAAAGTTCTTTCGAGTCTGTCTGTGTGTCTGTCTGTTTGTCATCACAACAACTCCACACAGTTTGAGCTAGGTACCTGAAATTTGCAGTGTAACTTTGTCATAAAAAGCAAGAATTGTATTGATTTTCAGCCCTCTACCTTAAAAATTGGCTGTTCTAAAAAATTAAGAACAAAAAGCCCACAATATATTTTTTAACATCTTCCTATAAGGTAACTCGTCAAAGCAGACCCCATAGACCTGAAATTTCGTCCGTTTGGCTCTTTCTCTAACGGTTTAGGCGCCAGGGGGCGAATTCTACACTGAAATGATCCCCCAATATTTAAATATTTTTTCTCAGATTTTGGAAAGTCTGCGGTGGGCTTACTCGTCAAAATAAAATACCGAGAAGCAAAATTTGTGACTTTTTGGGTCGAAGGCCTATTTACGACTCTGCCTTTGGCCGACTCGGGTGTCACCGCCACAGGCCTAGCTAGATGTATGCCAGGCGCGTCGCAGCTCTGCTCTTAAGGGGGCAGACCTGTGAAATACAAGGGTTTAGGAAGAAATTAATTTTAAACCAACGAGGCGACTCAGAGGTTTAGTACTGCGCGTACATATAATGCAAAGATGGCCCCACAATTTGGCCACTGAGCGGTGCCGACCCCTCCACAAACATAAACATGGCCAGCATGGCCTTGAACTAGAGCCGATGTAGGTCTTTGCGGTGTGCATGATTGTGCCTGAACCGTTGGGTCAGCAACAGTGAAAAGAATTGATAGATTCTCTTAAAACATGTATCTAGGATCTGGCAGGAGAATTCCACTCCGAAATACTTCAAAACAAATCCCAAAAAATGAGTACGAAAAAATCGGTCAAAATCTGGGTACTTTTTCCATAGTGTGGGTACCTTACAATTCAGGTATAAAAAATCGCCCTTGTCAGATTCTGGGCACATGAGTGGACAACATTCAGGCCAAATACCAAGTCGACAGCTCCAAAACTACGGCCTGGAGGTTGCACACCGTTTGCAAAAAGTCATTCCTACGGTTCGAGAATTACCGGTAATTTTGGTTCAAAGTAAAAAACCTGGGTAAATTTCAGTAAATTACTGCTTTTTTGAGTAATTTACTAAAAACAGCCCAATTTAAAGAAAAACGCAATTTTAAACATTTATTAAGGGCACTTGTATGATTTCCCGTTTACAATCGAGTAATTAAAGCACTTGCTTCAGAAGCACCACCGACATAGACCGACTGAATGTAAAGTGAAAAGATTTTGACCCGCGGGAGAAGAGATACTTTCCTCCTCACCACTAGATAAAGAACCTTTTAAAGTATTTGCCTCCTCTTATAAGCATAAGTAGTGCATCCTTGCGTACACCAGTGGATTCTTACGTGTAGCCTCGCTGCAGCCATATGAAGTGTTAATGTCAGCTTTTGTGCACACTTACGAAAAGAACTTGAAATGCATGTAATTGTTTGCATTGCTCAGAAAGCATGAAAGCTGAAAACCTGCACAAATTGGAAAGCTGCAAGCAAATTAGAACATAAACATAAATTTTGTCCACAGGAAATATTAGAACGTTGTCAGTCGATCCATTAAAATTAAATGGCCTTACGGCCTGTATGAGAAAAGTAGCTGCCTCAATGCGTGTATCCGGTCTCGAACCCTAGTCATTCCGAGAAAAACGAGTTTAAAGTTTTCAGTACCTATGTACAGCGACGAACCAAAAGCCTAGGCAACTTACTGAACTGGTCCTAAAAGATTCCGGGACTCTAGAGGACTCCTTCCTCGTCGTGAATCCCGTCCTGAGCGGCCAGGTGAGCCCTAGCGGTCCAGCCACCGGCCACCCGCAGCACGTTCTGGGCTCTCCTGAGCGCAATTTTTCGAATTTCAACATCCGCTTTGCGGCATAAGAAAGAGAAAAGATCAAATAATTTTTTGAGGCAATAAAAAAAATTGAATTTTTTGATGATTTTTACAGGTCTGCCCCCTTAAAAAAAGCATTAGAGCGGGCTTATGCAACCGCTCTCGTGTCTTTCTATCTGTCGTTCGTGTTAGAGGAAGTAGACGAGATAGAGGTCTAAAATATCAGGGTATCTAACGGGTCACTCCTGGAAACTCCTGTTGCAATTCCTGCCAGCTTTAAATTCCAGATGGAATTCCTGTTAATTTCCAGATGGATCTGGTTTTTCCATATGGAATCTCGTTTCCACAATGGAATTTGGTATGGAATAATTTTCCGGTATGGATTTGTGAGAATATTTTCCACTGTGGATTTGTGATTTTCCACTATGGATTACTGATTTTCCATTATGGAATATTTTCCATTATGGTCGGCTGCATTTTTTCCACTATGTATTTGCAAATTAAATCATAACTTTTTAACTAAGTTTAACACAGAAATTCTGACTGAAGCACTGCGAATAATACGTCGAAATGTTCACCCTTTGATAGAAAAGTATAAATCGCGATTCTCAACTCGGCTGTATCTTCGTAACAAATTGTCGAATCGAAAATCTGACCGCATATTTGGCGTTTTTAGCGAAAGTTTACATGGGTACGGTGCCCTTTCACGTAAACAAGCAGCTTGGTGATTGATGCTTCTCCATGCTGGTTTCACAATCCGGATGGATTTCACTATACATATGGATTTGTGTTACATATGGAAAATTTTCCACAGCAGGAAATATCCATAGTACAAAATTCCACTCTGGAAAGTGTTCCAAATTACATCTGGAATATAATCCATATGGAAATTCAACATAATCCAGACAGGTATTTTCCATACTAGAAATCCATATGGAATTTAAAGCTGGGCTGGCAACTACCAGGGGGTGAAAGGGGCTGACAAAGATATGGGGGTTGGTTGACAAAGTAGGAAACAAATATTTTTTTATAGTCTCCTTAAGGGTAACTCGTGAAAGTAGAATCTTCTGGGTCAGGGCTAAAATTTTGACCGCTTGACTATCTTGCACCGTTATGGCGTTTTTCGACAAAAATACGGTGGAAATGACCACGTTGCACATTCAAGACGTACAAGGAGGCGTCCAATCGTAAAATGTTAAAGCAAGTACCCCCCCCAAAAAAAAAAAACAACAACAAAAAACAAAAAAAAACAATACATTCTAATCCGGGGACTGCCTTCGGATTCGCCATATTTTTAACTGTATCGAAGATAGAGGTGGATATATTTAAAATAATGGCAAAAAATCAAGATTGCTGTTTGACAAATAAAACAAGCTAAAAACTGCGCATGTTCCTTTTAAAATTCTTTAGCAAACCAGAAGGGTGGGGTTTAAGTTACGGTGTTGCCACGTTTCAACCTTTTCTTATGTCTACGGAGCAAATCTATAGGGCCGCAGGCTCTCCGCTCGAAGCATTAGTTTACTCAAATAAGCACGGTGACTTACTGTGACCAAACGCCGCCGGCAGGCCAAGCTAGGCCCGGTCCCCGCCGAACAGAGTTACCTGCGGAGCATTTTGTCCGTGAAGAAAATTGCGAGGAAAATTGTAACGACGGTTCTAACCGACACATAGCCAAATTTTCCGAAGCTGAGCCAGTGAGTGTATACGTACCTGATACCGGCCCGCTACGTTATCTGATAGTGTTCTTCAGTAAGTCGCGCGACTTAATTGGTCCTGCCCCTGCCGAACCGAGTTGCCGGTGGATCGAAGCGGAGCTGGTTCGGGGGAAGAGCGGGCCTAGCTTGTTTGCCGAGATGGAAACCAAAATCAGTGACCAGATCCCAGATGCGAAATCTTGGGTCAATTAGGGCAATGATTAATCAAAAGTGATTCATGGTCGCAGGCTGCGCGCCGCCACGCTGCTCTGTGCGCCCTTATAGGGAAGGCCCGCACCCTGCTTGAGTTCCCCAACAGCGCGCTGACCTTCACGTTCCTGTTTGTGCCCGGCGTGTCAACCGTGCTTGTGGCCCGCGGAGCCTTTGATGGCTTCTGCCTTCCCTCCGTTCCCTACGTTGTCATCTTCTTCACCTTGTGCCTGGGTGGTCAGCGCCTCGAGGAAGCCACCGAGGAGTTGGCAGAGGCAGGCTACGCCGCGTGCGGGCAAAGTCCACTGGATCGCGAAAACGGGTAAAGATGGAGGGAGCAGGCGCTCCATTAGTAACCAGAATGTAAAAGGGTGGTCCAGGCTATCTAAAACGGAAGTGAAAAAGAACAAACTCACTGATTTATCTGTTTCCTCCTGTTCAGTATGAGAAATTACCATGGCAGTTTGGTCCGATTCCTACCTCTCAAATATGGAGGGGAGCTCGACATTTTCTCATACCTGAGAGGCCGTAAAGGCACGTGATCAACTCGACCAATAAGAGCCATTACGGAAACAGAAAAGTCAGTGATTTTGATCTTCTCCTACTTCCGTTTTAGATAGCCTGGAACACCATTTTGCAGTAAGTGCGCATGTGGGCAGCTAACGATTGGCTTTCACTGCTTTCTAGATTACTGCTCCTGACAGTCATCGTGCGCGCACGAAAACCACAAACCCTATCGCTTTTTCGGAAGAGTGCCGTACTAAATATGAGCACTTGTGCTTCTTTCCTGCAATCTTGGTACTCAATGCTTAGTGTATTATTAAAGATGCCTGATCAGAACTCTGTGTGAGGAAGGAGAGCTTTTGTAATAAGTAATGGCATTAAACGCTTCCTTAGGACTTCTACATTTGTAATTCTAGCAACAGAGCCTCACAGCAGAGATAGTAAAGTTAGTTGCAGAAGGTTGTCTAACAAACTTAGGTCAACACTGTAAGTACCAGACTGAGGTTTGTTGCTTTACGCTAATCGCTCAGCCCATGGAAAAAAAAAAATTCCGTCCAGAAACGGATCATGAAAGCAGATGATACTTGCTAATGAATTGTACTATATTTAGAGTATGTTGAACCGACGCGAAATTTCCTGTATTACTTTTAGTACGTTGTGACAAACCTATAACTTACTACTTGCGACCCTCTGCACCTGTTCGCGAGTGGTTCGCAAAGGGTCGCTGACCCAGGTCGCACAAAGTACGCCAAGTTTACACTAGTTTTATGTACGCCAGGCCACGTCTCGCGTAACAGGCTTCGCTATATCTCACGAGTCACTGTTCAAAAAACAAACATTCAAACAGCAATTAAGCATTCCGGTAAAGCTGAAATGCAGAAGAATGCAGGCAACAAGAAAACGGAAGTCCCATGTAAAAGCATAGTGATTTCCGTTTGCTTCTTCCTCGCATTTTTCTGCATTTTAGCTTTACCGGAATGCTTTAGAGACCATTCCACCGACTGTGAAAGAAGACAGAAAATATTAAAAGAGCACCGGAAACAGAAGTGATCAAACCGCTCACTTTTTCTAGTTTTCTTGACTAAGATAATTAGTCTGGACTTGTTGTTGTGCCACAGAGGTGTACAAAAATGAATGCGACAACCCGGCCAGACCCCTGCACAGGTGACTTGGGCACTGTTCGGATGTCCGGCCTGTGACGACTGCTGCCGCCACGCCAAGCCGTAGCACTGCTATGCTAAAAGTGTAGAAGACTGAAGTATACAATTAACATTTATTTTTACTACATTTTTTAAAAATTTGGGTCGCCTTCGTGTTAACACGGAGTGTTAACGTTTTTAGCCCGCCCTTGTGCTTTGAAAAAGCTATCCAGCGGGCTTATGCAAACGACATCGTGTGTGTATGTGTGTTTCAGGGGATCTCAAGGTTCACTCCCACAAAACAAAACGCCTACGGCAAATCCTGCCAACCACCCCTAAGGGGCTGAAAGGTTGCATCGAAGAAAACAGGAATGGCCAAAACAGTAATATATATTTTTTTTTAAACTCTTCGAAGGTGAAACTCGTGAAAGTAGAGTTCTCCTTCGACTTAAAATTCCATCCGTTTTGCTGTCTCTCTCACAGTTTAGGCGCTAGAGGGAGTTTCTCTTACAAAAAAGGCCCAAAAATAAATATATTGATTTTAGAAAATATTGGATGCTTTCGTAAGGTGTAACTCGTCAAAGTAGAGCCCTTAGGGCGAAAACTTCGTCCATTTGGCCCTATGTCTCACCGTTTAGGCGCTGGAGGGTCTTTTTTTGACGAAAATAAGCTAAAAATTGCTGTAGTGAAGAAAAAGTTGTACAAGAAGGCCTAAACACCGCACAAGAGGGAAGAACCCCCCCACCCAAATCCACCCCAAAAATGTTTTCTAAGCAGAAGGGTGGGTTCACGATGTAGAAAGACCCGGTGGCGCCGCTCCCTATGCCGCAGTGCTCGAAAGATGGCACCAGATCTCAGACCTCTTAGTTAGTACCTGCTGCGACCGCCGCCGCGCTGCAGTCGAGCGATACGCGACCCCTCCCTTCCCCCGCCTCCCGCTGGGCCCTTCCCGGGCGTCGGGAAGAAGAGGCGGGGAAGGAAGAGGGCGCGTACCGCTCGACTGCAGCGCGGCGGCGGTCGCAGCAGATACCGACTTAAAGGTACGAGATCTGGTGCCACCTTCGGCGGCGGCCGCCACCAGGTCTTTCTACATCGTGGGTGGGTTGTAGTCACGGTGCTTCACCGTTACATCCCTTTCTTGTATCTACGGGGCAAATTTTAAAGACGACGGGTTTTAGCGGGCCGAAGGCAAGTTACTTCATTTGCTTATGTTCTTCAGTAAATCGCGTGACAGAAATGGTCGGGCCGCAGGCCCGACCATCGCCGCCGGCAGGCCAAGCAGGTCCGGCCCCTGCCGAACAGAGTTGCCGGTGGAGCGAAGCGGAGCTGGCAACTCCGTTTGGCGGAAGGGCGAGCCTACTAGTTTAAAAACTACTTGTATGTACGCCAGACCACGTCTCGCACTATTACGAATATTATATTTTACAGACGTTTTGGTAAATTTATTACAGAAGTGGTGGGGCAATTTTACAGACTATGGTAATTTTCCTCTATATTTTATAAATTACCATTTTGGTAATTTTACAGGAACTGTATTGTAAAAATACCAAAAAAGTGTATTTTTACACTGGAATGTCTGGTAAATTTACCGAAAGTCTCTAAATTTACCACACACTTGTCGTTTTACGGTATTTTCCATGTAATTTTACGGTACTGTCCATATAATTTTCCGTACATTTACTTGTAAATAAGAACCGGAAAGTGAAGGTAAAAAAAAAGATCACATCAACTGTCAACTCATAATGATGCGTATGAAGTGGTTTACCATAGTCTCCTGGTGGTATGCAAATGTATTGCTGTTTGAGCCTCCTCATACTACGTTTAAAACATCATACACTTACACTTAAGCCGTAAACTATGCATCGCGCAAATATTGGTACCTTTATCCAGCGCTTGTCAAAATCTAGTTTAAAAAATAAAGTATGGTTTGAGAACAACACGGCAAGTGGGCAGCTGCTGGAAATCCCTGCTGCGTCCCTCTATCCGCTGCTGCATCCAGCGATAAAGGCCCCAGAGCCGGCTGTAGAGGCACACCGGTGGCTGACACTGCCCTTCCAGCGGGTAGCTCGTAGCCTAGTGGATGAGGTAGCGGGTTTCCAACGGGAAGGTCCGGGGTTCAACTGCAACAAAGGTAAAGTGATATTCATTGTTTGTGATGTATGTAATCTTGTATTGTGCTGATGAGGAAGTAGAACTGTAAGCAGAACTACAGTATCCCACCAATACCGATTTTTTTTTTCGAGGATACTATACTTTACAGCAAAAGTCTGTGAAATTTTTACAGACGAAAATCGGGGGAAAAATTACAGATAACTACCGGAATGTAAATTACAAGTGTTCTGTAATTTTACCATAGAAAGTCTTGGCAAATAGTATACCCAGACTTTTCCTGTAAAATTTTCGATATTTTTTTAACACTGCGCGTAACAGGCTTCGCGATATCTCACGAAACGCTGTGGCGTGAGTGGCCCCCAAATTTGCGATGCTAACTGCATTTGTGGGGAACTTATTCCTCTAAAATTAGGGAAAAGTTCTGATTATGACAGACTGTTATGTAGAAATCAACGTTTTAGTAAAAGTGGATGATCTAGGGCAATTAGACCTTAAAGACGTGTGGTTAAAGCGAGGGGTCCCTCACTTCAATTTTACGCGTACAGTGACTAAAGATAAAAAATGACGAAATGACGAAAACTGACCGACAGATTGAAGAAATGACCCAAAAATGATAAAAATGACTAAAAATGACAAAAATTGCCGAAAATGACAAAAAAAGTTAAGAAAAAAACTATTGAATGTGATAACAAGCTGGGCCCGCTCTTCCGCCAAACCAAGTTGCCAGCTCCGCTTCGCTCCACCGGCAACTCGGTTCGGCAGGGAGCGGGCCCA